CACCTTCAGACATTATGAGTTATGATTTTTTGTCGTATCTTAATGCTTTTAATAATTTAGTTTAAATCAACTTTTTGAAAAATGTTTCTTTATTGATTTCAGAGAGAGAGGAAGAGAGAGGGAGATGGAGAGATCGAATAAAGAGAACATTGATTGTCCACCTCCTGCACACCCCTCACTGGGGATGAGGCCCACAGCCCGGGACAGTGCCTTGACCAGGAATCAAACCAGCGATCTCCTGCCCTGGCCGGTTTGGCTCAGCGGTTAAGAGTGTCAGCCTGCGGTCGATAGAGACCCAGGTTTGGTTCCCACTAAGGACACATACGTCAGTTGCAGTTTGTTCCCAGCCCTAGTTGGGTCATGCGGGTGGCAGCCACTCGATGTGTCCCTTTCATGTCGATGTTTCTCTCTCTCTCTCCCTCCCCACTCTATCTGAACAGAAAAAATGGAAAAATGTCCTCGGGTGAGGAAAAAAAAAACCAGCGACCTCCTCTTGCATGGGTTGATGCTCAACCACTGAGCCATACCACCCAGGCAATTTTTTTATTTTTAAATCTTTACCTGAGAATATTTTTCTCTTGATTTTTAGATAGAGTGGGAGAGAGGGAGGAGGGAGAAACACTGATGTAAGAGAGACACATCGATTGGCTGCTTCCAACAGGACCCTGACTGGGGCCAGAATCAAACCTGCAACCAAGGTACCTGCCCTTGACCAGAAATCAAACCCAAGGCTCTTCTATCTCTCCACTAAGCCAAACCAGTCAGGGCAAATCAACTAACTTTTTAAAAAATTAAATAAATTTAACATCATCCCAAACAATGACATCTATGTAATCAAATTTAGCTAGTTCAGAATGTTTTTTTCAATACATTTTAAAAAACTTAACTATAGGTTGCATTCCTTACCTAAGCCCAACCATATTGGGATAAAGAGAGATACTATGGGCCCTGGCCAGTTTTCTCCACGGTTAGAGCATCAGCCCTCAGACCAAAGGGTCCCAGGTGTGATTCCCGTTCAGGGGCATGGACCTGGGTTTCAAGTTTGATCCTCAGCCCCGGATACCCTGCCCCAGTCGGAGTCATGCGGGAGGCAACCACTAAAATAAATACAAAGCTGATCCCCATTCCACCTAAAATCATCTCTCTAAGATGTTAGCCTACTCTTTTGAATGTACACATTATAGAAAGCCACTGTATTCAAAACAGCCTGCTAGTGACACAAGAACAGGCACACAGATGAATGGAACAGAACACAGAGCCCAGAAATGGGCAAAGGACCTGAACAGACAACTTCTCCAAAGAGGACATAAAGATGGCCAACAGACATATGCAAAAACACTCAATATCACCACTCATCAGAGAGATGCAAATTAAAACTACAATGAGGTACCACCTCACACTTGACAGAATGGCTACCATCAATAAAGCAACAAATACTGGTGAGGATGTGGAGAAAAGGGTACTCCAGTATACTGCTGATAGGAATGCAGACTGGTGCAGCCACTATGGAAAACAGTATAGAGTCTCCTCAAAAAATTAAAAATTGAACTGCCATTTGACCCAGTGATCCCACTTCTGGGAATATATCCTAAGAATCTCAAAATGCCAATCAGAAAGAATATATGCACCCCTATGTTCATAGCAGCATTATTTACAGTAGCTAAGATTTGGAAACAGGCCACATGCCCAACAGTAGATGAGGGGATAAAAAAGCTGTGGTATATTTACACAATGGAACACTATGCAGCTGTTAAAGAAAGGACCTCTTACCTACTGAGACAGCATTGATGGACCTGGAAGTTATACTAAGTGAAAAGAAGCCAGTCAGAGAAAGACAAATATTACATGATCTCACTTATTTGTGGAATCTAATGAACAAAATAAACTGACCAACAAAATAGGTCCAGAGGCAGCAGCAGTTAGCATTTCAAAGAACAGTGAAACAATAATAATACTCATCACCAAGATGACCTAAGAAAAGAAACCCAAGAAAACTGGTTTACCAGCATTTCAGAACCTCCTGCACCACTATACCACGCTGTCTCTTCTCTCTTTTTCAGACTATTTTTTCCTCCATTCTTTTGCTTATGTCCATCGTTCTCCAGTTACCTACATCTATTACTTTTATATTCACCAGGTCAAATTTTGTCTCAGGGGATATGGCTTTTATCATGTTGAGACTGGCCAGTAAAAAAGGACAAGAATAGGTAAACTAAGACAGATAGTTAAACATCAGTTTGCAGAAAATCTAGATGCCAAGTAGTTTGCAGCTATCTTCCCTAAACCAGGGATACTTAAGAGTACATGGTTTCCCGGGAAAATATGGGGGGACATCTGTAATACTCTCAACAATAATGATAAAAAAAGAGTAAATGGCTTGCATAAATCCAATTAATGCCATTTGCTGACCATACCCAAGGACAGATGAGATTAAGAGGTTAAACCAGCCCTGGCCAGCTTTGCTCACTGGTTAGAGCATCAGCCCGCGGACCAGAGTCCCAGGTTCTGTTCCCGCTAAGGGCATATACCTCGGTTGTGGTTTGTCCCTGCCCCAGTTGGGTTTGTGCAGGTGGCAACCAGTCCATGTGTCTCTCTCACAAGGGTGTTTCTCTCTCTCTCTCTTCTTCCCGCTCTATCTGAAGATAAATGCAAAAATGTTCTCAAGTGAGCATAAAAACAAAGGTTAAACCTCATTTTAGTACATGAGCATAAAACTGATGAATATTCTACTGAGATCCTCCCCCAAACACCCAATCTTTAAAACCTCTCAAAAGGAAAGTTTAATGCCTGCCCAAGTTTTCCCCACCCGCTTCTTTCCCCACAGGCATGCATCTCCTAAACTCTAAAGGACCCCAGGCTTGCAACCAGGGCAGCAGTGGGCAGTGGCAAACCTCCTGAACCTGTCTATTCCCCAGGTTTGATTTTTTTAAAATGGTTTTATTAATTTTTTATAGAGGGAGGAAGGGGGAAACAATGATGTGAGAGGGAAACATTAATTGGCTGCCTCCTGCAACCCCCTCCCCCAACCCAGGCATGAGCCCTGACCTGGAATAGAAGCAAGACCGCTCAGTCCACTAAGCCACACCGGCTGGGCCATCCCTCAGTTTTCATAAACATCCTCTAAAATTCACCTGGAATCATGTTGTGAAATATTTCCCCCACAAAGTCAAGAATCCCACACATTACCACTGGCCCTAGACAGACTCATTCAGAGCCAGGTCCCCTTTCCAGTAACAATGTCACTTCTTTGCTCAAATTCCTAATCTTACTTCTAGACTTCTTAATTACTCCCCTACAGTAGGAATCCTAATCTCCAATTCTACAGGTCTTCGCTACTGCCCTCTGAATAAGCCCAGCTATATCTAGTTCCTTACTCCTCTAACACTGTTTGGATGAAGATTTTGTCTTAGAAGATTGGAAAGATGAGGGATACAGATTAAAGTATTCAGAATAAATAGCCAATATATGCAAAGTGCCAAAGGAGGTAGAGACTATTCACTGATGTATGTATTTCACCCATTTCCCACTGCCCTTTAACTGGCATCTACTATAGGAAAAAAACAGCAACACTTGTACTTATTGAACTGTATCTATACACATTGCTCATAACTGTAAATTCAATTGTATTAACATTTTGTGGTTTCAAAGAAACAAAAATACCTATACTGTTATTTTACTCATGCAAATTCCCAGGGTTTTTTCCCCCCCATTATGGACTTGTAGCTCAATAGAATTAATTTTCCAGTTACATGTATGCCACTGTATGACTTTGCAGTGACCAGGGTCAGCATCCTAAATCCGAGGTGTGCCCCTTGCCCATGCTTACATCAGTGTGACCTTAGGCAAACTGGTCAACTTCTCTAAGCCTCTTTTTTTCCTTATCTGTAAAATGGGGTGTCTACTTCACGCAGCTGTTGTAAAAATTAAATGAAGAGGTAGAAACAATTTCAGAATGCTTCATACATATTAAGAATGGAAATGATCAGTACTAGTACTACCGCTCCAAACCAGTAATGCTACTCCCAAGACTAGATTACTAGGTACCTTTGTTTTCAGTGATTTTGAAAACCCGAACAGAGAGTAAAATTGCCCGGGGGGGAAACTGCCACATTCTTGCAGCACAAACTAAATTAACGATGCGCTGCCTTCATTTTAACGTATGCCTTATTTTACACAACCCCTCTAGAAAGCAAACGACTGGAAAAGAAGCATGACTGCTGATCACCCCAAAACCATAAAACTATGTCAAAGAGATCAAATGATATGTCTGGGATTTGCTTCGAATTAACCCGGGGAGGAGGAGCAACTCCGGCCACGTATTGGTAACTGATGAAATTGAGTTTTTCACACCATCTTCTACCCTCAGCCAAGTTTGAACATTTCCATAATAAAAGGTGTTTTTACATGTCCAAAGGACGATCATTTCTTCGGAGCTTCAAGCAAATCCAGGTCACGGTCGGGAAGATAATTGGGAAATTCTGGGAGGCGAAGAGTCCAAAGCAACACAAGCCAGGTGAGGCCGGTTAAAGCTCCCAGGTGGACCAGCTGGGTGCTCCTCCTCCCTGAACCCCCGAGGCCGGGCCTGGAGGTGCAGCCGTGGAGTCCGCTCAGCCCCGGGACAGGACGCAACACCCCAGGGAACCGCCGCCTGGCGGCGGGTGCGCGAACGGCGGGCTACGAAGGCGGAGGAGTGGGCAGACATCGGGTAAATTGGTGGGTGGGTGAGTCCCAACCTTCGGGGCAGTTCTGCCGACTTCCCTCCGCTCCGCCAAAGCTCCAACCCCACAGGACCCTCAGCCGCCCGGCTGCGAGAACCTCTCCGCTTCCTTTCAGCCACGGCGCAGCCACCCAACCGGCCCATGAAGCCCGCCGGCCTCCCCGCAAGCCCGAACCCCTTCAGCTCTTGCCCTGACTGTTACCAGGACTTCCAACCGCCGTGAGGCCAAGGGGGCGCCTCGACCCCACATTAACCGCTTCCCCGAGTGCCCAGGCGTAGTTACCTCAGCCGCGAGGCAGCGAGGCGTCTTCCTCAGCTACTCCGGCTTCCAGCTTGGCGGTCCCGGGGAGTTGCTGTCAATCACCCAATCTCCTCCCCAAGCCACGGCCAGACTGACCAGTCAGCGACTTCCTCCGGCCCGGAGGCGGGTCCAGAGCCCCGAGCGGAAGGCTACGGTACCGCCCCACGCGCCGGCGGCCGCCTCTCGGAGTCAGTGTGCGCACGCGCGGGCCTCGGCCCAGGGCAGACGCTCGCTCTCGAACTTCGCTTTGTGGCCTCACTGCTCCGCCGCGGGAAGTAGTTTGTGAACCTCAGGTTCTAGGTGTGCAGGACAATCCGCATTCTGAATGTAGCCTAAAGTGTGTATTACCTTGAAAGAAGCTGTGAGTGTTAAGCCCTTGTTAACCTAACATATGTTGAGCCCTTTCGCCCCACGCTGTGGAGACGGGTGTTCACGCGGCCGATCGTTCGCCTCTACTGACCTCGTGTCTGCGGTGTGTTTGTGCTTAAGGAGTGAGGGTGCGGGGTCGTACAAAGTGCCTGACGGATGAGAGAGAACTTTACCGTCTTCAGTTCTAGCATCTATTTACTCTGGTCAATTGGGACACGTGCTCTTTAATAGTTGACTATTCTAGGACACTGGATTTCAAGTAATTCTGTTATAAAAAATATAACTAACATTAAGCATGGTAACTTGTGAAGACCTGATAAAAGAATCATGTAGGGTGAGAAACCTATCAGTATTTCTGGTTGGCCTTTCAAGAGGCGGTTGCTGATTGGCTGCCTCACTTACCCGCCCATAATAATTGATACCAGAGGTCATTGGGCAGGCACCCGAGCTCTGGTGTTCTGATACCAGCTCCCAAGTCTCTCCCTGGTGAGGGCTTTCCTCTTTCAGCCAAAGCATTAGTTCATTTACTCAACGGGCGCTTTTGGGGGGCCCCACTATGACAATACAAAGATTTTTTTAAAGCTGTGAACCACACCCTCTGTGAGCCTAAAGGCTAACATGGAGATAGAAATAGAAATGTAACCTATCTATAAACAAATGTTCTAATGAAGACATGGAGGGAGGGAGCCTGGAAACTAAGCATGCCTGGGGGCTCAGGGAACACATCAGAAAGAAGAGAAAAAAAACACACAGAAAACAATGAGTGCAAGTGAGTGGGTGTACTAGTTGCTATGGGGGTGTCATTGAATCTAGCCTCTCAGCACACAGAGCTAGGAAATATATTACCAACTTGTTTTTTAATTCTGTTTTATATCTCTGTGATAGGCAGTCTCTAAGATGGCCGTCGATGATCCCTGCTTCCTGGTATTCATACACTTTTGTAATCCCCTCTTGTTGAGGGTGGGTTGGACCTAGTGATTACCTTCTAATAAATAGAATACAGCTAGCATCATGGAAGTCACAAAAAGATTGTGGTTTCCATCTTGCTTTCTCTCAGTGTCTCCTTCACTTGCTCTGGGATATGCCAGCCATCATATTGTGAGCTGTCCTTGTGGAAAGGCCCACTACCAAGAAACGGGAGGAGGCTTCTGGCCAATAGCCAGCAAAGAACTAAGAGCCTATGTCCACCAGCTGGTGAGAAACTGAATCTTGCTAACAGCCATGTGAGTGAACTTGGATACAGAGCCTCTCCCACTTGAGCCTTCAGATGACTGTAGCCCCACTGACACCTTGATTGCAAAGCCTTGTGAAAGACCCTGAGCCAGAGATATCCACATGGATACCTTATACACAGAAGACTTAAGATAATAAATGATTGTTGTGGTAAGATTACATTTTTTAGTAATTTGTTAGGAAACGATGAACTAATATGATAATCTGTCTCTGCCACAAGATCAAAGGTTCTTAAATATACTTTGGAGCTTATTTAAAAGTACATAAGCCCAGGCCCCTTCCCAGAATCTTAGTCGATTGTTCTACGTAGCTAGCTAACTTTGGAAACTAATGTACAAGATTATAGGCAAACCATTTGGGGATTTTAAAAGAAAATAGACTTTCTTTTCTTTTTAGAGTATCTGATCCTGGAGTTCTTTATCTTCATTATTAATGGCTCAGCTTTCTTGGCAGAATCCAGAATGACTGTAACTTCATCTGCTAGTGGAATATTTTTTGAATAGAGGAAAAGAATCAGAGCTTTCACTCACTTTGTGGCCTTGGAACAATACTTTGACCTTTCTATGCTTCCGGATTGCTAACAGCAAATTAAAGGATTATAATGCCATTATTTAAGCAGGGGATTTATCCATTATTAAGTGTATATTAGGCTGGTATTTCATGTGATCAAGGCCCATTGTGGGCAAGCTTCCTTGTAAAGATTTAACAAAAAGTCAGGTTCCCATTTGTTCATGTTGGTAGTGAGCTTAATTCTGTTGTAGAAAGAATGTGGGCTTCCAAGTCATCTTCAAATATGCCTTTGCCACTTACAAGCTGTGTGACTGTGGGCAAACTAATCAGTTTTCCTTGGTCTCAATTTTCTGATATGCACAGTGGGGAAAATAGAAACCTCAAAGTGTAGCCCATGCCCTGGCTAGTTTGGCTCAGTTGGTTGGGTGTCATCTCATGCACCAAAAGATTGCTGGTTTGATTCCCCATCAGGGCACATGCCCAGGTTTCAGCTTGATCCCCAACAGTGGGCATGCAGGAGACAGCCAGTCAATGTTTTGCTTTCACATCATTGTTTTTCTCTCTCCCTCTCCCTTCCACTTTCTAAATATCAATAAAATTTTTTTTTTTTTTTTTAAATAACAGGTAGCCCTGCCCTGGCCTGTTTGGCTCAGCAGTTAGAGTGTCAGCGCACAGACCAGAGAGTCCTGGTTTTGGTTCCCGCTAAGGGCACGTCCCTCAGTTGCGGTTGTCCCCGGCCCCGGTTGGAGTTGTGCGGGTGGCAACTAGTTGATGTGTCTCTCGCACATTGATGTTTCCCTCTCTTTTCCTCCCTCTCTTCCTCCTCTCTCCCTCCTGCTCTATCTGAAGATAAATGCAAAAATGTCCTCGGGTGACGATAAAAAAAATAACAGATGCCCTGGCTGGTTTGACTCAGCAGTTAGAGTGTCGGCCTGGGAGAGAGACTCGGCTTCGGTTGCCGCCGCTAAGGGCTCGTACCTCAGTTGCAGTTTGTCCCTGGCCCTGGATGGGTCGTGCAGTGGCAACCACTCGATGTGTCCCTTTCATATTGATGTTTCTCTCTCTCTCTCTCTCTCCCTCCCACTCTATCTGAACAAAAAATGGAAAAATGTCCTCCGGTGAAGATAAAAAGGAAATAACAGGTAACCCTGAGGACTGATGTAAAATACTAAAGGCAATGCCTGACTTATCACAAGGACCCTATACATAATAGCCATGAAGGACATCCAGTTAGCTCATGTAGTTGTGATCCAGTGTTAGTAGAGGACAGACAAATGTCTACATGTGTCCATCAGCCTGTTTTTCTTTCTTTCTTTTTCAGATATATTTTTATTAATTTCTTAGAGAGAGAGATAGAAACATCGATGTGAGGGAAAAACATCAGTTGGCTGTCTCCTGCACGCCAGCAACTGGATATTGAGCCAGAAACTCCAGCATGTGCCCTGACCAGGAATCTAACTGGATCCTCTCAGTCAATGGGATGATGCTCAATCCACTGAGCCACACTGGTCAGGCAGCCTGTCTTTCATATTAGGTTTAATGACAGTCTCATTTGGTGAGATAGGTAATAATCTGTGACTCTTACACAGTATCTTCCTTGGAAATCTAAATCCTTTCTCTAGTTCTGCTTTTGCTCCAGCTCTGATTGCCTGTCTATAGGAAATATAGAGGAATGGACTACTTGAAGATTGAACTTCAAGTAGTCTCGAGTTGAAATCTAGGAACTCCTACCTGGTAAAAGACCACTGGGTAGAACAGTGAGGGGTGCCCATGTGAGGGATGCATTAAGAGAAGGTTGGACTGGATGTGTCTGGGAGAGGTTCAGCTATAGGACAACCGGTCAAGACTAATTGGTGGGCCAACATCATCTTATATGAGGTGAAAGTTCAAAGATGCAGCTAAATACATTCATTGTCTTCAAGCTCTGATAACTATTAAAGGCAGATATTGTTGGGAGAAATAAAATTTAAATCCATTTCAGTCATGTAAATCTCAGCTCAAATAAATGTGTTTACCATGGTGCCCAGTGAAAAATTGTTGAGCTATTTTGATTTAATTATACAGTACTGGGTATATTTGGTTGTTCTGAGCTTTGAAACTATTTCTTCCCATATTAGTATACAAAGTGACCTGATGTATGTCCAAAAAGATGTATATCCAAATAGGTGAAAAGATCAGTGCCATCCAGAGACTGTGACATTCTTTTTATAAACCAGTTTTGGGGATATATACCCTTACCTACAGAACTCTTTTCTTTTTAATGTTTTTTATTAGGTTTTATTTTTTTAATAGTAATTATGGAAAATGTCAAACATGCACAAAAGTGAAAAGCATATGCAATGAATCCTATGTATCCATCATACAGTTTCAGCAATCAGCAACTCATAGCTTCTGGTTTCATTTATATCTTTTCCAGGCTTCTTTGATTCTTTTGTTTGTTTTGGAGACGCTGGGGAATGAACCTCCGGACCTTATATAGGCAAACTCTTTGATTCTTTTGAAGCTATTCTCAGGCATGTCATTTCAACCATAAATATTTCAGTATTTATCACTAAAAGTTTAGGAGACTTAAAAAAAAACGAATATAGCCAGGCCAGTGTGGCTCACTGGTTGAACGTCGACCCATGCACCAAGAGGTCGCCAGTTCGATTCCCGGTCAGGGTGCATGCCCAGGTTGTGGGCCCAATCCCCAGTGGGGGGCATGCAGGAGGCAGGCAATGGATGTTCTCTCTCATAGATGTTTCTATTTCTCTCTCCCTCTCCCTTCTCCTCTCTCTAAAATAAATAAATAAATAAATTGTTTTTAATTAATAAAGAAAAAAAATTTTTTTTAAAACCCCACATAATTATAATATCATTATCAGGCCTAAAATATTGATCATAATGTTTTTTAGCATCATCAATTTAGTGTTCAAATTTACTAGGG